TCGCAAATGGTGGAAAGAGGCTTAATATTTGCTTACTTTACAGTAATAATCAAAGAAATTTTACAGAATTTTGACTTCAAGCAAAACTGTATGTAAACTGAACTTGTATTACATAACAGCTTAAAATTCTTAGAACCTAATTCGGTTTTCATATAAAGAATTTATATTCGTCGCATCATACATCAATTGTGATAGAGGGGATATTAAGTTTATGGGCATGTATAAAACACCCAGAAGTATATGAGTTAAATCCACATTTTGTTATTTTGATCAATTCAGAATATAATTCTGCTAAGCTTGTCTGTCCATCTGTCCACCTCGTTTTCTTGTGGTATTTTGATGAAAGTCCGTGCAACGACACATTTTTGCCCAGTGGCGAACGCTATTGATGCGCTATTCGATCACTTCTTTTGAATTTTGAAGTGCACCATAATGCTTTTATTTTTTTTTTTTAATTTGAATTTTTGAAAGTCTGGAGAAATGTCAACCTCCAAGAATTGATATCAATAAAACACAAAAATAAAATATAATTGCTTGTAATCGGTGTTCACCAATTACGTTAAAAATTAGGCTATAACCATCGCGTAAACGTGACCGAACCATAAATTTTAAACCATATCTATCAGCTAATGAAATATGCAGCAAATAACGATGGCTAGACTGGAATGCAAACTTTCTCAACTTTTTTCTTTTCTAACCCACCTTTAAATTTATTTAATTCTTTTTTTGATGGTGGATTTGTTAAAGGAAATACCACGCAAAAGATACTGATTGTCCTGTCAGCATATAATCAAATAGGGGACGAATTCTTTATTCTTCGCGGAAATAGAACAGTGTTGCGTTCTTGTTTGCAGAAATGTGGAATAAAAAATACAATCTATTCCTGTGTAGATTTATCTTTTATATATTATAAAACACCTACGGTTGACATATCGTACGTTATCTGTACATTACGGAAAGCGTTTTGTTTAGAAATGCTTTCGTTGAGCTGATAACTTTTTGTTTTGTTTTGAACAGGAACAGTTGCATGAAGTGAAACTGATGGTCGAATTAATAGGGTTTATGGCTAAAAGCATTTCCACAATAATGGATAAAACGAGCTTTTATCGCAATCAGATGGCTAGCAAGCATTTCTTAGCCAAAATTTCAATTTTATAAGCAGTTCTTTAAGCTAAAACCCATCAAGAGACTATACATTTTTATTTTGCCTACATATTTGAATATATAATTTACGTGAACGACTTGTATGTAAAAATGATCTCGAACTGCTCATTAAAACATCCCCATTGCGTTCCCTTCGTTATTTGAATGTAATAAAAATCATTTTAAATATCAAGTGTATTAAATGTTAGACTAGCAGAATATACCAGATTTGCTTTAAGGTGTACCTTATCTTATATGTTGCTGTTGCTATTTTGTTTTTTTTTTTTTGCTATTTTTTCTCATCGAAACTTTTTATGTGGCTGCAATCATCAACGTCACTAAGGTGTGGGCGTTTATAATTTCATACTACCAAATTGTAAACCTAAACTAAGCAGTCCTACAAATACATACAATACGACAAAGAAAAGCAGACATTGAGTTAGGTAAACCAGTTGTCGTCAATAAACCCACAACCAGTATTTCACTCAACTTATCTAAGGTACTTTAATGACTTTATGTTTGCCTCTACATATTATAAGGAAACATGAAAGCAGCTGATCTATTTATATGTACGCTTGTATGTATGTATGTATGTGTGTATATATTATGTATGTAGATATATATTTATATATACATATATGTATATGTATATGTAATACATTAATTCGAAACAATCAATGTAGAATACACGAAATGATTTAAATAACTGCACCCTATAGCAGTAAGTGCACAGCATCCAGCACATTCAACCAGTCCCGTGAACGAAAGTAAGAAAACTGTACAACTGGAATTACGGTAACTTTCTGTAAAGCTACCAAACGATTTGTTGCTATGGTTGTTGCCGTTTCGGCTGCTGTTTTATTTATTTTTGTACGTTTCCATTTCATTTCCATTTACTAGCCTAAGCACTTAGTAAGACACCACAATACAATTATTCACTGCTTAACCGTACGATTTGCTTTTCAGCTATGTTTTTGTTTTGTCTATATCGTTTTTGCTTTATGGCCAAATAGTCACAAATGGTGAAAAACGAACGTAAAAACAAAAAAAAAACATGTAATCATTGGTATGGCTTTACATATTTAACTCTGCAGAACATGCCCATTCCCCTCAAAAACTGCATTAGTACAAATTCACAAAAATTGCATTATTTTTTGTTTTATTTTCTTATTCCGCATACAGTGAGTTCATGTGAGCACCGCCCAAATCTTATTAATTCTTTGAAACACAGTCGAAGGAAAAAACTCAAAATCGCAACGTGAAATGTCCTCATGATTTTATCTCGTGCGTTGCTGTTAGCACTTTGTGTTCTTTGCTCGGATCTTTTATTTAATAACTGTTAAGTTTCGAATGTTTGCTGTAATAATCAAGTCGCCGAATTCTATACGACTAGAATGTTTAAGATATACAGCAGATAGGGAGAGCCCCTCTCACCATAAAATCTAGGGTTTCTGTGCCTTACTTCATTTTTTTGGGAGAAAAGCACTCATGTAATTTCCATCTCAAGGTGCTATAAGTGCTCTAACTTTCAAAAAAATACATCGAATCGAGTTTCCCACGGACTGCCCGCTTGGCACAAAACCTATTGATGCTATCGAAGACCTCTCTTACCGGAAGCCAATACTTTCCTAAAGTTAGTAATGAGTAATAGCATCAACTCTTTTTCTCCTATTTATTTTATAATCTTCAATTATTTTGTGAAATGAAACGTTATAAATATTAAAAATTCATTTAAGATATTTGTGAGCATACAAATAATTTCCTTAATCTTTTTTATACCCATCTCTGAGGTATGAAGGGTGTATTCATTTTGTCAAAACGTTTACAACGTCCAGAAGGAAGCTTCGTCGGAATTTAATTTTGAATCGATTTAAGCATATCCATCTGTCCGTTTGGGTAATGTCTGTTGTAAAAATTAATTTATCGAGTTCAAATTTGGCAGAAACATTGGAAGTTCTTGCACGCAGGTTGGAATGAAAAGATTGCCAAATCGGTCGAAGGGCATGACTACAGTCTTATGTAAAGTGAGAACTGCTTTCCGAAAGGAATCAAAAATTGGATTTGGCTCATTACTACTAAATCTACAGAAATGTGAGCATATATTTTAAAGGCGACGCTACACAAGAATGGGAAAATAGACTTCGCTTACCTAATTTTATAGAGTGTCATAGTTTCATTTTTTTTCAAAACTATGATAACGCACAGAAGTAAGGTTCAAAAACGACATAAAGTAAAGAAATTCTTGGCCATTTTTAAATGCATCTAAGCATGTAAGTTCTCTCATATGTCTGTCCGTCCGTCTGCGCAATTGTGTAATCTAAGCGCTCCCACGTTCGCAAAAATGGAGATATCGCCTACAAAGTTGCAAAAGAAATGGAAAACGATCCAAACCGATCAAAGGATACGCTTACAACTTCCGCAAGTCTATGTAACGAAAATTATGAACAGCTTTTCTTTCCGTTTTTTTTTGTTTGTTACTCATAAAATGCAACAAATGCACCATTTAAATTGCCAATTTTATTCTAAAAATAGAGAGATCATCCCCGCTCAAAATTGTACATTATGAAAATGTTGTTCTTTTTCTGCTCTTTAGCATCACTGTGAGGGGTATAAAAAGTTCGGTCACAATATCCCTTTCTTGCTTGTTTTGATTTATGTTATATCTAAGCTTAAACTGTACCGTTCTATATGATATTTTAGTTTATTCATAAAAAAAAAAAAAAAAAAACAGGCATAGCAGTTTGTACCTTGGTAAATTGGAAGCATACGTTGGGGGCAAAGTATGGTTCAAATGCGTCATCGCATGGAACTGGTGTTTCGTCGTGAAAAGGTGAACTATAGTTGGCGCGCACACTTACCAATCAGACGTACACTTACAGGACTGCCTCCTGTCCTTTCCCTACTTCCTTCTCCTAATAGCACCTAGGTGACTGGCCATTAGAAACAACCATATATATATTCAACCATTGTGGAAGGGAATGCTCACGCTAGCACAGCTCGCTTTCTGTTTATGATAACGTCACAAATTGAAATTGTTTGCCTCTTTTTGTGGTTTTCATATTCCGACCATATTTTCAAAAAGACAAACATATATTGAAGCAATGTTCGGCATAAACCGAATTTAATTTCTTTTATATTTTTACTTAATTTCGTAGATTAACTTATGTCTAAACTTCATCCAGATGCAGCTAAACGAACGTAATCTTTCTCTTGGCTCATGATTGATTACTTGGTAATTGATTTTTCTTCACATGCGTAATAAATTTGTGAAGTTGAAAGGCAAAATTTCATTTCATTTTAACATACATTGCTTCGGGCTTTGTTAGTAGTAAACTCTCAGTTTTTTATTCGTTTTTTTTTCTTTCTGAGAACTTGTAATGAAATGTCTTCAATTAAACATTTCTCGAAAACCCAAGTGAATAAAATGAATATTTCGGAAACACAAATTAAGTGGCTTGAACGAATGACCTCGTTGTTTGGTTTAATTTTTTATTTATTTTTTTTAGTTTTTAAATCCTTCAAGCAATGAATAATTAATATAATGGCTTTGCAGAGCATAAGCTAATTAATCAAATGCTACATAAAAAAAAAAAAAATATATTTATATATACGTGTATATATTATGCAATAAAAGTAACAACAACAACAAAAAAACAACGATAGTAACAATAGCTGTACCAATCATTCATGCATTCTCTTATTCATTGAATAAATCTTAGGTTGATTCGTTAATATTACATCTTTTCGGATCACAAAAATGGTAAAATGGAAAGAAATCGTTTCCCCACATTGCAACAATTTCGTGCAGTTATAGGCTTATAAAAGAGGCACAAAATAAATGTATTTCTATTCTTAGCATAGTGTGCGTGTATGAACACATTCCTGCAAATATCTCACATTCAAGGAGACGTTACAACAATGGGAAAAACGATATCCAAATCGATATCTCCTAAATTGTCGATTAAATAATTTCAGATTTATGCTCGTTGGGAAGGTGACGTTTCGCACTAAAAAAATTCTGTAGCGGTTTTTCGTTCTGTCGAGGCAGTGGTGAGTGTTAAAAATGGATTATGCATTCAGTCAACAAAGAAAAAATTCAGTACATTCGAAATTCGAATTCAGTACATGCGAAAATGCAAGAACGGCGGCTAAAATTCTGAATGGTGCTTATGATCCCGATACCGTAACAGCCAATAGTGAGCAATTCAGGTTTCGTCGATTCCGTTCAGGTATTTTTGATGGTAAAGATGCTCGTCGCACAAGGACGCCCATCGCCGAAAATGTCGATGAAATCGTAGAAATGATCAAAGTTGACCGACATGTTACCAGTCATGGCAACGGCCAGGAGCTGGCGATCGGCCATGACAAAGTTTTAAGCCGTTGGCACAAAGCTGGATTCAAAAAGAAGCTTGATCCTTGGGTGAGACACCAAATAACACAAAAAAACATCATGGACCGAATTTCCATCTACAAAGCCTTGGCCAAACGAAATCAAATCGACCCATTTCTTAAACAGATATTAGGCGAGGATGAGAAAAGGGTCATATAGGATACAATTGTGCGAAAACAATTGTGCTCAAAGCGCGTTGAAGCAGCTCAAACGGCCAAACCTGGACAAACGCCCACGAAGGTTCTGCTGTACATGTGGTGGGACTGAAAAGGAATCATTTAGAATTGTATAGGAAAACACTAAATTCGGATCTGGACTGTCAACAACTTGAGTGTTTAAGGCTAGTGATTGACCAGAAACGGCCAGAATTGATTAAGAGGAGAAGCGTTTGGTTCCATCAGTACAAGGTCATAGCAGTCTATAGCAACTCGCCAGAAACTCTGGGAGCTTGCTTGGAAAGTTTTGATGCATCTAGCACCTAGCCCGGATCCGTCAATAAGCGATTACCATGTTTTTCTTGTATTGCAAAGCTTCTTAGTGATAAGAAATTGGCATCAAAAAAGATTGTAAAAATCGATTATTAGCAGAGACTAAGACTTCCATGAGAGAGACATCATGAGGTTAGCTTTAAAATGACAAGAAATTACAGAGCAAAACTTTACCTATTTGACCACAATTGGCAATACGAAACATCTTAAATAAGTCTTGAATTTTACGTAAAAATAATGAATTGCTTTTTCCCCAACCTAATATATTTCCAGTCAGTTTGTTTGTTTTTTGTACCATTTTTATCCCTCAGTGTATCATCGACAGCCATGTACATTTTGTTTAAAGTCATATAAACGAGCGACTGTACAATTTACATTTTATTGTGCACGTGTTGGTTTGTTCGTATGCGCATGTATGCAGCTGGTGCTAGGTTTAACTTTAAACCATGCAGAAACTCTATCGCACATCTATTGCGGGCCGTAACATGCTAGTTGGCCAGTTGGCTTATGGTCTAGAAAAATGTGTATCTACACTAAACAACAAAAGCAACAACAAGTTGTTTGTATACTTAGTAAAGTTATTGTTGTGGTTTTTGTGATTTTTTCTCAAAATTTTCTTTGTATACAAACACACTTATGTGTGCGCTGTGAATAAAATATTTTTTTTTTCTTTCTTTAATTTTTTTGTAGTTTTCTTTTGTATTGGTTGATTTATTTTCTTGGTTTATTGTGTTCGTTTATTTGAACGTGTGTGTGTGTTTGCAGTTTTCCATCTAAGTTAATTGTAGAGTTTTCGAATTTACAGATTGTCGCAATATATATGTATACACATACAGTCTATCTCTTTGTCTGGACGTGTTTGTGCTGTTGATGTTTATCAATATTATCGACAAAGTTACGAGTTTGGCATCGATCAATGTTGTAGCCATATTTGGAAATATCTATTACTTTCTGCCACCAACTCGAAACATCCAAGCAACGCGCACACGCACAAATATCTATATATGATAACTAACATTATCACAGCAACACAAGTACACATCGAGTACATCAGTCTTTTATACCTCCTTCTATGTTAATGCTTATTGGTATGTTTCTTTGTTTGTGTGTTTGTGAGAGTTTCGAAAAAGAAACTCTTAAGCACGACGACCTAGAAAACAAAAAAAAAATTTTAAAAAATATTGAAAAAATTAAGTGCTCCCATTGCACGTTCCATGCTTTATTGACCCATATATTGAAGTCACACACTCGCACGCATTCGTATACTTCCGTATACAAGTATTCATAAGCGATGCACATCATCGTGCAATTCCCCATTGATTTAAATTCCTAAGACAGCATTTAGTCAATTATATCAACAATGAACTGAACAACGAAGGCGATGTCGATAATTATACTAATAATGATGATAATAATGACGATGATCACGGTACTGATGATGTCTTATCCATGATGCCTGATGTTTGCTGCCTGATGATGCTTAATAATGGACATCAAACACTAACATATGATACGGACTGGTTGATATAAATCCACTTATGGTTATTTAAGCAACGCAAACGCATTTTTATACACATATATAAATATATATAAATTTTTATATACGCATATATGTTAGGACAGGTATACGTATAGCGCATATATTTGCCAGCTCAGCCGACCGTATCGTTCAGTTGAATAAGTATATGATATTGGTACCGATAAACTCTTGTCGCTATAGTCAGCTTAAGTCACTCACTCTATGTGCCTTCATTGAGCTAACATTGAACTTTTATATAAATATAATGGTATTTAGTTATGTACCGTTATAATTTTACAATCGCTTATATCCTAAGTAACCTCCCACAGAGTTTAAAATAGATTTCTATCGAGACGTTTTTAAATGGATTTCTAAACAAATTTCATATTTTATGCAAAAACAAAGTCAATTAATTTTATTCTTAAACAAAAGCAAAAAAAACGAAAAGAAAATGACACGCGAGTTTAGCTAAGAGCAGAGGTAAATTAAGGTCGATTAGGCCCAGGGCAGTAAGGTATACAAAACAAAAAAACCCGTAAGAAAATTATATTCTTTTGTAATCGAAGCTTTTGTACGCTTATTAAAAAATGAAATAAGAAGCCCATAAAAAATGAAATTTCATTGCTCTATAAGATTGGATGAGTGATCCGATTTTTTCATTTTTGTATAGGATCATACACTGAGTATTATCAACGTGCAAATTTTATCGCCGAATCTGTCGTGGTTTATAACCAAGTAACCAGATAGCCAGAAAAAAAAATGTTTTTTTTTTGCTTTTAAAAGGAGACACTTTCTCAGTATATTTTGCACTGTAGATGTGTTCCATTTTGAGAACTAGCGTACGTGCAAGGCAAGCCAGGAATGGCTTTACCAAATTAGACGACGAAATCTTGATTTTTGAGACCAGCATGATGTTTGCCACACATATAACACACCCGGGCAGGCGAGCATGCTTAGACCAATTCAGATTTTAATGCTGATCAAGAATAAATACAACTTTACGCACGTTTTAAATATACCACCATTTCCCCATAAATAACACAAAACTGTGAAAAAGTAAAATATGTAGTTTGGGTACGATGCACATGTTCAATAACAGTTAGAACAGAAAGCATTCCTTCAATTTAAACGAAAATGGTCTATGAAAAGTATTAGAAGAATTTTTTAGGAAAATTTTTGTTGTTTTTACGGAAAGCCTTTATTTCTTTAGAATAAGCTTGGCGACAAAATCAAGGTCTTCGTCGATATAATTCCGAAAGAAAAATCACCAGCAAGCTACATGGTGAACACAGTAGATCAGACAGTAGAGAACACTTAAAAAGCTCCGAGAGATCAGGGTAGTTGCTGACATACATTGTCCCGAACAGTAAACGGGTGGATACGCTCGCGTTACAAAAGAACAATCCAAAGAGTTACTAATATGCATCTATTGACACAAACAAAGCTCAAATATAAGGTCAAACATTTCATGATAATAATCAGGATGGAAGATAGGATCAAAACAGGTACTTGTGGTAAACTAAAGTCACCTAAAACAGGTAACGTATGAGCAGGGTTCATTTCAACTGACAGATGACGAATCAGCTGTGATGCTTTACGTAAGTACTAATATCATAACTTTCCCCTACAAACTCAGCGTTAGTTTTCACAGACGATAAACATAACAGAGAGTGGAGAGAATTTATAACAGCAACTAAAACGCCTCCCTCGATTTTATGTAATTTGTCACCCCTGGACACTTGATATCAAGAACCGAACACTCCTGCATCCAAAATCGATGTATCGATGCAATTTTTTTTGCTTTTTATGTGCGTCCTTAGTAATTCCATTCTTTGGCATGTGGCATTGAACACATTTTGTTGCATCCGCTGCCGTATGGTATGCATACCCTTGTACAGTTCCAAAAAATATGTAATAATTCTTAAATGTGATGGCCACGATTGTGACGTTGCAATATATGTTCGATAGAGCATAGAAAGTGACAGCTTAGGTGGTGATAATTGACCTGTCCATTGTTGAAGGTGCTATAGCTAGTAATAAACATAACCGGTACAAGATCGAAAGGCCTCAAATTGTATCAGAAATTAGAAAAATGCCTAAAAACTAACAAGGGGATTAAATAAAATTTGACAGAGATACTAGGGCCTCTTATTTGAATAGCTCTCGAAAAATGCAAGGCTTAGACTGACGAAATCAACAAACGTGCTCTTACAGTCTTCTTCTGACATTGTAGCCGAACGCTAGTCCTAGTAGCTTGCAACTGCGCTTTCTGATCATAGCTTTTGAGGTTTTTTATATCAAATATAATATTCCAGCTCACTAGTCACGATGAAACTGTCCGCTAATAATTTTGTTGTGAAAGCAGGTTATTACCTGAGGACGGTGGTGGTAAAAACACGAGAAACACTTGCTGCTGGCTGCCTTGAGACAAGTGCTGTCCTTGTGATGTGAGTATGTGTGTAGAGTTACACTGTATATTTGCACATGGTTGTGATATGTCAGCAGTAGCTAAAAATGCTAGAGAAAAGATATCCAAAAAAAAATTTTCGTATATTTTTTAATTAATAATGCACAATTTTTAGCAAAATTAGGTGTCAAATCTGGTCCAACTACGTTTTTAAAAAGAAAATAGTCGCAAGCATTCTGCGGGTAGACAAATGGACTATATTAATCAGTAGTTTATAAACTACTTGTTAAATCTTATATATGCTGTTGGTATAATACTCGCAAAAAAGAGATTTTAATAGATAGAAAGATATTATGTAGCTTGTTTTCTAGATATTCAAGGTTTGTTCAAGGCAGGCCAGCGTATTTTTATTTAAGATAGGATCGAGAAAAATTTCTCCAATCAGAAAGATTTATTAATTACTGATCGATGCAGACATAAATTGAATAACAGGTTTTTAAAGCCGAACAAGATATATTTCAGTCGTATAAGAATTTTCAATATGTTGTCTTTCATACATTGCCATAGCGGTAGCTGAAACTGAATAAATTGTATAATTATAAGAAAATTTTCTAATATTAAGTCTAAGAAATGTTGAAATATGTCTGCAGCCAAAACTTCTCAAATTTTCTTTTAAAATTTCTTCGCAATAAACAGAAAAAAAAAATAGAAAATTATAAATTCTATACCCACACAAATAAAAATATATGTAAATAAAATTTGATTGCCTTGACACCCTCACGTCATCTTTGATTAGATCGCACTTTATTTTTGGTTTCGCTTTGGGGGCATTAGGTACACATTCAACATTGAAGACATGTAAATTTTAAGTGAAACCACCGTTCA